GAAGAATGACGAGGCAGCCTGCTTCTGTAAAGATGGACAGCCTCACGAACCCGAGAGGGCAGTTCTACCATGTTCTATAGAGTCGGAATCAATCAACGGCAGCGCGTCTGGGTTTGTGGGCTTCGCCAGCTGGGAACTGAACCACCACTGTCCCGGCAAAACGGGAGAGGAGATACTCTTCAAGTTCTGTCGTGGTCTGTCTCAGACGGCTCCATCCCCCAACTTAGTGCGTTTTCCTTGTAGCCCTGGGCTGACCCAATAGTTCCCTCTGGATAACCACCTGCACTCACGCTAGATAATGCTCCGAACCCCAGGCCATTCCTCGGCCGCTCTCCCGTCTCCTTTTTGGACACCACATCCATTTTTGTTTTGTTTTATTGTGCTGTTTGGGCCTAAATACTAATAACTGATAAACTAATCAGTGAAAATGAACTAACTTATCTTTCCAGAAAACATTAGGGAAAAAAAAAATTCCAGATCTAAATACATGCCAGCCTTCACCCAGAGAAACTGACTTGGCCTCCCCTGGTGCCTGAGGCGGCAGCCCCATTCTGAAGAGAGTGGTCCTTTATAGGGTTAGGTAGGTCCCCGCCATAATGGGGGTGTGAACCAACTCACCCCCTTTGCTTCCCTGGGGAGCATCTTTAAAACGACTGTACTAAAGGATTTGACCCCATTCTTGGGGGGTTGGCTAAAAGACAAAACCCACACCTCCATCAAAGCCATTCCTCTGTGCACGAGAGCTATCTAGGACACAGAGAGAAACCCGAGACCCCTGAAGAACACATCGGAGATCTGTCTGCAGGGGCGGAAGCTGCAGAGATCAGAGGCACCAGAGATTGTGGCACCGAGATCAGAGGGTCTCTCTCCTCAGTGGGCCTGAAACTATAGGACTGTGAGACAGAGCGACAGGTGGGCTGGGTTCCTGAACCACTGAGGCAACATCCAAGAGGTCACCTGGCTGAGAAGCTGAGAAGCCCAAAAGACACTTGGCTGCTGGCTGAGGAGCCCTGGAGGTGTAGTGAGTTATCCATTGATCTGCAAAACTTAAGGCCAATAGTTTGAAGCCACCGAGAAGGATGAGGTTTTCTACTCCCACAACAAAGTAAAGCCTTAGCACCCCCCAGGGGCAGTTCTGCCCTGTCCTATGACGCTCTTATGAGTCAGAATTGACTCAGTGGCAGTGAATTTCTTGAGGTTTTTATGGCTAGCAGATAGATAAGATGGAGCCATCAATGAAATGGAGCCCAGGGGTGCTGCTATAGGGTAAGCATTGCCCTGTTAACTTCAAGGTCACCAGTTGACCTTGAGGAGAAAGATGTACAGCCTCAGAAACCTTAGACAGGGTGACTATGAGTTGGAACCCACGTGATGGCAGTGGGGCTTTTGGTTCCTGGGGGGCAGACGCTGGGTACACTTTCCCAGGATCTGTAAAGCACACAGATTTGTAAGGAGCTGAGAGCTCTGCTTATCCTCCGGCAAATCCCCTCTGACCAAAGTGCAGGGATGTAAATAGCCTTGCTATCTAACAGAGTGCATTATAAAGTCGATTGTGACCAATGTAGTTAGGTAAAAATGTAGTATTTTATCATTTGATCTCCCTTTTGACCTATTTTTAAGTTGTCTCAGCTTAAAAGTAAAAATGTAGGGGAAATACACACGCTGAATCCCCTCCGACCACATAGACTACGGATGCGAACTGGAAAGTGGATTATTGCAAATGCAATTCGGTTAAAATTTAACGGCGTATCATTTAATATCCCCTTTGATCTATTTTCAATTTGTTCTAGTTTTTAATATTTTCTGCTTTTTGTAATTGAGGTTTTTCTATTTTACTTTGTTATTGATATTGGGTTTCTATTGTTTTTGTGTGTGTTTTCTTCTGCATAAAATATACAGGATAGGTAAGTCTATAGAAATCGTACATAGATTCATGGTTTCCTGTGGGTATGGCAGAGGAGAGTGGGGGCCAAAGGGAGCTAATAACAAGGAGTACAAGCAGGAAAAAAAGTTCTAAAACTGATTGTAGTGATATGTGTACAACTCCTCCTGATGTGACTGAAATATTGAATTGTATGGTGTATGAATTGTATGCCGGTAAGGCTGTTTGCTTGTTTGTTTAGCGTCTGCTTGCTGGGCTATCTATTTTTTTAACCAAGTGTATGTGCACAAATTTGAGTTTGAGGCCCTTGTCATTTTGTGTGTGTGCTAACAGGCCTCAGTTTACTACAAAAAAGTAAACAACTTGGAGTCCACCCTCTGAGCCCATTTTTGACTGACCTATGAAACAGAACTGTGTTCCACAGTAAGTTTGCAGGAGGAAGATATGAGGCTAATTTATAACTATGCCCATGGCAGTCCTGCCTATGAGTCACAATTAACGGGTCTTAGGCGAGCGATGAGTTCTGGTGGAGAGCCTTCTAACCTGCCATGAAGACCTCCCTCCCTCTCTCTGTCTCTCAAACACCCCAAACCAAAAAAACCCCACTCACTGCCGTGGAGTCTAGAGGACAGGGTAGACCATAACTCTTCAAGTCGAAAGTCCCTGTCTTTCTCCCACGGAGAGGCTTTCTAACAGCTGACCTTAGGGTTAGCGGCCCAACCCATAAACACACACACACACACACACACACACACACACACACAATGGCGGAAAAGTGCAGTTTTGAAGCCCGCCAAGGGCCTACTGGTGAATTATATTCTCCCTGCTAATCCCCAGCCACACCCCCAAAGCCTGTGTCCCTTCTGCTCTAAGCAGCTGAGGAATACAGCTGGGCAGGCCCAGACAGATGTGAAGCCCTGAATGATTCAGCTTGAAGGGGTCTTAGATAAACAGTAAACATCATAACTGAGCTTCCTGATTATTTAAGATGTGGATGCTCTGTTCTTCTAAGGCAACTCACTCCACGTGTTATCTGGTGTCGCATTTCTTCTTCCTTCTTTGGCCAGATTACTCTAGATCAGGTAGATCTCACCATGGCATGGGTCCAACTTCGGGACAGCCAGCTGTTTCAACTTTTCTGTTGGGAATTGTGGCCTCAGCAACCGTATCGGATGTACAGATAGTCTCCTGGCAGCCCGCACCCTGTCCATCTGTGCTGATGGCAGGGAGCCCATCAGTAGGTAAGTCATACCCCCAGAGGCTGAGGACAAGATTCTGGAAACCTCTCTTCCTTAGGAGGTACCTCCTCTGCACCCCAAAGTTGTCTGCCCATGTGCAACCACAAAAAAGATTAACGAAAGGGATGCTCATTTGTCAAGGTACCACTGGCATAGTTAAATTCAGGAAGATTCTTGAAGCTCCTGTCATAAAAACACATTGATTTTTTTGGTCATATGGAACCATGAAAAATAATTACAGCAATTGTAAAGTGCTAGAACGATCCTCCAGCTAAATTCAAGTGGCCAGATGACCACTTGGGTAGCTCCACCCACTCCACTCAATGTAAATGTTCTCACTAGAAATGGCAAAAACTACGAAGGTAGACTGGCTTTCTTGAACCCTAAAATTGCAGGAAGCTGATTTGTAGATAGGGTGTCCACTTAGGTGGGGGCAGCGTGAAATAATTTTGGACCACGTAAGGGGGAAAGTTTTAGCCAAAGACGCCCTTTTAAAAGGTTTGTTTGTTTTTAATCATTCATTTACTAAACACAGCTCCCAATCAAAAGGGGCAGGAGTCTTGCATGCAGATTTCACCGACCTTAGTACACTCCCCCCCAAGCTAGCCATGAGGACTATACATTTTTAGATCCCTTCGACGTTGCTTAGCCTCATCACTTCGCTCCACTTTCACAGTCATTAAAACATACACAACCCCCACCCAGGGAAAGACCAGTCCAACCACCTCAGCAGGATTATTTGAACGCCAAGTGTGGAAACTCGGCGGCCTCCTGGTGTACCTGCCTGTGTTCGGACGGACCACCACGCTCGGCAAAACAGACTCCTTGTTCTTGTGTCTCGGAATAAAAAGTGCACCAGAAGCGAAGCCCAAGGGACGTGGCTTTTTATTGTGCTTTTTGAGTGTGTGCAGGGGGTGGGGAGGGGCGGGGTGCTGTTCAGAGAAAAAGTCAGGGAAAAAGTGAGTGAGAGAAGGGGCCGTCCCTTTCATGTCACCTCAAAGTACCAAAGGGGGTGGCAAAAAAATGGTAATAGACGGGGTCTCCTTTGCATCGGAACTGATCGCTGTACCCGCGAACAGCCCCGGTCCCCTGGCGCTGGGACACGGGACGGGAGCCCTCCCTCGGGAGGTGTTTACTCGGCCTTCTCGGCACAAAGAGCCCATGGCCGGTGCCCCGCACGGGGCTCGGCGGCGTGGCTCCCAGGTCACTTTCGCTCTCAGCAGCCTGCCCACCGCCAGGTGCTCGTCCTACCTGGCGCCCCTAGCAGGCTTGGTGCTGCCCGCGTCCCAGCAGGCCGGTGCCGCCCCCGCCAGGGCTCGGACGCCAGGCAGGGCAGCCGCGGGCGCTGGCTGGACCGCCCCACGGCGGAGGGGCGCCCAGGGAGCCAGCCTGCGATGGTGCCCGCTGAGGGCAGGGGAGCGGAGGGGACGTCATGCGCCCGGCTGGGGCGCAAACCTTCCTGCAACCGCGCCCCAGGGGCGAGGGCCAGCGAGGGCACAGGCGACTGCCCCCACCTTCTCAGCAAGGCGACAAGGCTCCCCCCACCCCCCACCCCGAGGGTTGCGGACCTGGAACACAGAGGTGCCACCCGCTGGCTTCCGACAGCTGGCAGCCATAGTAACCGAGCCACCAAAAGTTTCGCGACGCAGCGAGGCAGGAAAACTGCTTGCAAGAAACTTTTCCTTTGCCCCCCAACTCCTTCTTTGCAGTCCCGGTGTGCCCCCCAGTAGCAGGAAACGAGAGCTCGCGACGTGCCTCCTCCCGCGTCCACCTTCTCCGCCCCTGGCCTGGGCAGCACACCCAAGGTGGGTGCCCCGCGCGGGCGCTTCCTGCCCCATCCAGGCATCGGGCGCCCAGGGACGCGGGCACGGCCGACTCACCATGGTGACTGGCGCGGCGGGCGCGCCTCCACCGGCTCCGTCGGCCGCGGATCCGGGACCCGAACGCAGCCTCCTGGGCGAACTTCAAAAGTTGGTGCCCGGCGCCTAACACAGGCTCCCGACACCCAAGCACTCACAGGAGCCAATGGGAACCCAGAGGGGCTTCCATCCAGGCGGGATCGGCGGCACTAGGTGAGGGCGAGCGGGGTGGATCCCGCACTCCAGCCGCCCGCGGCGGGCGCACCGCTGCGCTCGGGCCCCGCGCTCGCCCCGGGACCAGGAGAGGCCGATGCGCTGGGCGCGTCCGGCCAGTTCTGTCTGTCTCGCCGGTTCTCTTCGGCCACTTACTCCGTGCTCTGCTCGCTGAGCCTCGTCCTGGGCCGGGCAATCTGTCCATAAATGGAGAATTCAGCTCCGGTCTGACCAATCAGAGTTTGTTTTCATAGCGTCACTCCTCCGGGAAACTGTACCAGCCAACAAGCTTGAAGCTGCGGGCGTTTCCAAAAGGTCCCTGGGTCCTGTAGTCCGGCGGCTGCCCGCCGCCCGCCCTCCGAAGCGCGCTGCTGCCCCAACGCGCTCCACTTGGCAAGACCCACAAGACCCTGACGGGGTCAACGGCTCCCTGGTTTCCACGGCTACTATCAGAGCAGGTTTAGCTTCCAGCTCGAAGTGGCGTGCTTTTCCAGAATGTTTCTTTCTCTCTTTTTTTTAAAGAAGGAAATATTTTATCAGCATCAAAGATCAGAGTCGTGGCAGCAGCCCAAAGGAAATCCTTTTTTCTTTCCAACGTCTGGGATTGGGAGGAAAGTCAAAAATATCATTTCCCTCACCCCTCCTTCTACCTGCATTTCCTTGGAAAACAAATGAAGGCTTAAAACAATTAATTTTTTAATTAATGGTCTGATGGCCGCGAATTTTGCACGTGCAGTAAGCAGGGCGTCGGAAGTGGGACATAGCTAATCTGGGCCAACCGTGGGAACATGCAAAGGAGAGTCGTTTGCTGTCGCAGACTAGAGTTTCAAGAAACCGTGTCGGTAATGAGGAGGTTGGGAGTGAGTTCAGTTCAGAGTGACTCCACGCGTCCCAGGAGGTTCCTAGGCTCCAATCTCAAGAGGAGAAGTGGACCAGATGCTTTCTCTGGTCCTGCGGAACCCCTAGTGAAGTCCAGCCTCTCCATGAGCAGCAGAGGGTTTAAACTGTCTCACTGCCAGGCCCTCGCTCACTGAGTCCACCCTGCCTCACAGCGACTCTACAGGACCAGTTGAACCGCCCCAGTGGGTTTCCACGACTATAACTCTTTACAGGAGTAGAAAGCTTCATCTCTCTCCCTCGGAGCAGCTGCTGGTTTCAAACTGCTGACCTTGGGGTTAGCAGCCCAACCAACATGTTTCCCACGACTCTACCGAGGCTCCGTTGACCACCAGGAAGAGAGTCTGAATTTATTGTGTTGGGAGGTCAAACCCCCAAACTCACTAGGGTTTCTAAGACTAAATCTCTCCAGAAGCAGGCTGCCTCCGTCTTTCTCCTTAAGAGCAGCTGCAGCGTTCACCCTGCAGACCTTCTGGTGAGCAGGGAAGCACACCACTAGGACTCTAGCGGGACCTCAGGAACTAAAGCTGATGGGCCATACCACGAGTGTTTACTCAGAATCTATGGGCGGTGGCCCTGGAAGCCTCCTGGACATAGAAAGTCTATGGAAAGGAAAGGCTTACTTTATGAACGTCTCTTAGAGCCGTGCACTTAATAGAAGATCGCGGAGGTTGGAAAGGGTGTTAGCAGCCATCATGTCTCGGAGAGATCAACATTATGAGCTATAGTCATACAATGGAATATCATTCAGCTACAAAAAGAAATGCAGTAATGAGACATGTTGCACCAAGGATGAACCTTGAAAATAGTATGCTGCCTGAAAGAAGCCAGGCACACAAGGTCACATATTGCATGATTTCATTTAAATATTTTATTTTTTAATAATTTTATTGACATCTCCTTCATGTACCATACAATTCAACGGTTTAACTGTATTCAAAAGAGTTGTGTATTCATCACCATCTGCAAAGACTTGGCATAGTGGGTTAAGTGTGGGGCTGCTAACTGCAAGTTTGGGGGGTTCAAATCCACCAGCCACCCTGAAAGAGAAAGCTGAGGCGGTCTGTACCAGGAAAGACCGTCTCAGAAGAGGCAGTCCTCCTGTGGTTTACGGGATCACTCTGAGTTGCAGTAGACTCCGTGGCAATGGGCCTGGTTTGGTTTGGGGGTGGTTGTAAATTTTGTGAAATGTTACTAACACTGACTTGCATAAAGATTGAAAACAAACCTTTTGTCTAAATAGTTTTAGTAATCATTTACAAGTCAGTCAACAAATTGAGTGCCTACTATAAGACAGCGTTGCTAGTATACATGGTCTAGACTCTGCCCTCACAGAGCTTATAACTGTGAGAAGCGGACTGTAAAGTAAAAAACAACCACAGTAGTTGTAGAAAAGATACCAATATAATGCAAAGTACTGGTAGTTATGAGGCACTCATCTGGTTGGGGTATGTGGTATGAACCGGAAAGGCAACTGTCTGGCATCTGTTGAGCACTCATTCTGCGCTGGGCGTGATTTCGATTATTCTCAGCTAAGCCTGATCCATGTCTCACTGTAGCATGTCTCAGAAAGAAAAAAAAAAATCTCTGCCATTGATTCGATTCGAACTCACAGAGGCCCTACAGGCCAGGGTAGAACTGCCCTGGTAAATTTACGAGACTGTAACTTTTTAAGGGAGTAAAAAGCCTCTTTCTCCCACGGAGTGGCAGGTGGTTTCCCATAGCAACAGCATGTAACCCCTGAGCCACCAGTAGTCCTTTCAAATACTTTGGAATACAGGTAGGTACATTAGGAACCAGCTTGGTTCTCCAGTACTGCTGTAAAAGAATTGCCTGCAGAAGCCTTTCACAAACGCGAGTTTATTCTCTCAGTTTGAGAGGCGAGCAGTTCCGACTCGGGGTGCCGGCTCTAGGAGAAGGCGTTCCCTGTTGGCTCTGGCGGAAGGTTCTTGTCTCTTGTCACTTTCCTCGTGTATCCCTTGGCTCCTTGACAGTTTGCATGTGGCACGACAGCTTTCGTCCCCATCTCTGCTGGCTTGCTCAACCTGCTCCTTTATATCTCAAAAGAAATGTACTTCAAAGACACTCGATACTAATATAATCTCATTGATATAACAAAGAAACCGATTCCCAAGTAGCATGTGACCACAGTGACAACTCGCGGCTGTCGTGTGGATTTTGACTCATGGCAACCCTAGAGGGCCTTAGGCATAGGAATTAGGGTTTACAACACATATTTTGGGGAGACATAATTCAATCTACAACAGGAACTAATGAACAGAGGTTGTCCAAAGTAAAATTTGACATCTGTAGCCAACACAGGAAGCGCTGCTCGGGCTGGAAATGGCACTTCGCCCAAAGAGTCCTCTGGGCGGCCAGCCCTGGACCACCGTTGGCTTCCCTTTGCTTAACCACTAAACGCTGAAACTCGCTTAGTAACGCATCCCCGAACTCACTGCGGATGAGGGAAGGCTGACTCAGCAACCCTTTAGGACAGAGTAGAATTACTCCTTCAGGTTTTCCAAGACTGAATCTTTACAGGAGCAGAAAATCACCTCTTTCTTCCTTGCAGAGCCCCGTGGTTTCAAACTGCTGACCTTGAGCTCGGCATCCCAACACTTAACTCCCTTAACCCACCACGGCTCCCTTTCAGTAGTCCACAGACAAGCTTTAACTCTTGGGCTTATTGAAAACGACCAGGAGACAATTGGTCAGTTGTCTTATCAGTTGGAGTGGGTCCAGATGGCACAAGGTTAAGTGATTGGCTACTAAACAGAAGGCAGGACCCAGGAGCAACTCTGCAGTGGAAAGATGTCCCTCTGCTTCTGTAAAGATTTATAGCCTTGGAAACCCTGGGGAGGCAGTTCTACTCTGTCCTATGGGATCACTATGAGTTGGAATCTGCTCCATGGCAGTGGATTTTGTTGTTGTTGTGGTTGTTAATTATCATTTGGGAAGTTTTAAACATTAATAAAAAAACATGTATTTGCCTTAATGATCTCTTTTCAATTTCTAGAGGTAGACAGAATTTTGAGGACGTTGCATGCTTGTGTTTATTTATGTATTAAAAATTATTTTATTGGGGGTTCTCATAGCTTTTATAATATTCCACACATCAATTGTATGACGTATATTTGTACATATATTGCCATCATCATTTCCATAACATTTTCTACTTGAGCTCTTGGTCTAAGCTCCTCTTTTTTCCCCTCCCTCCCCCACTCTCCCACCCTCCTGAATCCTTGATGAATTATATATTGCTATTATTATTATTTCGTATCTTACACTGTCCATTGTCTCCCTTAACCCACATTTCTGTTATTCGTCCCTTTGGGGGGGTGGTGGCTATATATTCAATCGTGTGATGGGTTCCCACTTTCTTCCCCTCCCCCCATCCCTGACCATCCCCTACCCTCATTGCTATTTCCATTCCTGAAGGGTTTATCTTTCCTGAATTCTATGTGTCGAGAGCTCTTATCTATACTAATGTGTTTTCCGGTCTAGCCAGATTTGTAAAGTAGAACTGGGTCATTGTAGTGGGGGTAAGGGGGGGTCGGAAGTATTCAGGAACTAGAGGAATGATGTGTGATTCGTTGGTGCTATACTATCCCTTGGTTGAATCATCACCACCTCTGTGAGGGGATATCCAATTGTCTACAGATGGGCTTTGGGTCCCCACTCCAATCCTCTTCTTTCACATCACTATAGTTCTTTGTTTTGGATCTTTTGATACCTGATGCCTGATCCTGTGGACGCCTCATGATCACACAGGTTGGTATGCTTCTTCCATTTGGGCTTTGTTGCTTCCCGCTTGTGTTTATTTTTCATAAATTCGTTATATACTCATTTTCCAGATTGAAATATGTGCATTTATTTGTGTCTAAACTTAGATTAAAAGGAGCCCTGATAGAGCACCTGTTGGGCACTCAACTGCCGACCAAATTGTTGGCGATTTGAAGTCACCGACTCTGTCTAAGAAAGCCCAAGCCAAAAAGCCGAGCGACAGCTACTGAGTCCGTTTTGGCCCACAGAGAGCTGATAGGCCAGAGCAGACGTGTTCCCGGACAGCTGAGGCTTGAAATCTTTCCCGGTGGAGA